CTCGAGCCCGGCCGGGTGTCCAGCTTGTACTCGGCCTGGTACTTGCCCTCCTCCTGCCTCTTGAAGGAGGCAGAAGACATGGCCTTGGGCTCGGGGGGCTGCAGCCACGAGTGGCTGAGGATCTCGTCAATGTGCAGCCGCAGGTCGACGTCGGGCTGGAGCATGCGTTCGATGAGGTCCTTGCACTCGCCCGTCGGGTTCTTGGAGCGCGGGAAGTGGACGCGGCGCTCCTTCTGGATGCGCAGCATCTTCCTGATGTCGGAGTCACCGTAGGGCATGGAGCCACAGACCATTATGTAGAGGATCACGCCCAGGCCCCAGATGTCGTACGCCTTGGGCTGGTAGGGGATGCCCTGCAGCACCTCGGGGGGCCACGTACGCCGGCGACCCGCAGAAGGTCTTGCTGAGGATGATGCGGCCGCTGCCGTCCCGCAGGCAGCGTTTGGAGAAGCCGAAGTCGGACAGCTTGATGTTGAAGTCCTTGTCGAGGAGAACGTTCTGGCACTTGAGGTCGCGGTGGACGACATCCATGTCGTGGCAGCACTTGACGGCCAAGGAGAGCTGGCGGAACATCTTGCGTGCCACGTCCTTGTGCAGGGCTCCCGGGTTTTGATGAACTCGAGGAGGTCGCCCTGGACGCCAAGCTCCATGACGATGTAGATCCGCCCGTCAGATGTCTCGAAGATCTCGTAGGTCTTGATGATCGAGCGGTGGTTGACGGTTGCCAGGATGTCCATCTCCCGCGGAAGGAATCTCTCTACAAAGTCAGTGGGCGTTTTCTTGCGGTCGATGATCCTGACTGCCACGTTGAACTTGAGGCGCTCAGAGTAGGCGGATTTGACTTTTGCGTAGGAGCCTTTGCCAAGATCGATGCCCACGATGTAACCCTTCTTCCTTAGGACCGTGGCATCGTCCATGGTGCCAGGAGCGGCCGACATCGATCGTCCTCACTCACACTGCAGGCAGGTGTGTGCGGGGCTGGGCCTGGACTTGCAGGGGTCACCCAGCATTGTCTCTGGGTGACTTCAGCGAATGAAGTCATAAAGCCAGGCTGCTGGGAGTGGGGACTGGGCTGGGGGGAACAGGGCCCCAGGGACCCTGGAAGCCAGGCTGGCCTGGCAGGAGTGCCCACTCCCTGCCCAGTGGAAGGAAGCTGGCATTAGGGACTGTGGTAACCCTCCCTGTTCTTCTTGCTGGCTCTGGCCTCCCTGTCACATGTCAGGCCTGAAGGGAGGTGGCCCACGTCCGGCCAGACTGCCAGCCGCAAGCCTGTTTCCTTCCCCTGGTCTTGGGGGCTGACCCTTTGTTGGGTCCGTTTCCTGCAGCTTCTTTGGGGTGTGCAGGGAAGCCCCTCTAGGGCTCGTGTGCTTGGGACCAGCAGTGCCTGCCTGGGAGGGCCAGCCTTGGCCCAGAGTGGCGGTGGTGCCAAGCCTGGTGGACAAAAGCAGCTCAGTGTTTGGGAGCAGGAACTGGCAGGTCCTTAGGGTGGAGAACTGGGCAGGCGAGTCGCTGCTGCTCTAGTGAATGGGCGCGTGCGTGTAGGTGGCAGGTCATGGTCGGGGATGCAGTACATGCCGGCTGGGTGCCTGGGGTCCAGGACAGGAAGGTGCATGTTCCCAGGGGTGGGACGGGGCTTCCCTCAGGTGGAGGATGAGGTGAGGCATTCAGGCAGGGGAGAGCCCGGGAGGTGAGAGGAAGACTGTTCTGAGAACAGCCGAGACGTACAAGTCAGCAGGGAAGCGGAGGAGAATGTTGCGGTGTTTTCTGTGACAGGGCAGCCATCGCAAGGTGCAGGACAGGAGGAGATAGGATCCAAGTTGTGTTTTAAGATGGTCCCTGGCAGAGAAGAGAATCAGCTTTGGGGCGAGAGGGGGGCCAGTGCCTTTGAGCAGGCGAGACGCGGCCGGGCCAGGGCAGCCTCCGGGGAGCAGGGGGAGGCGATGAAGGCCGAGCCTGGGTCTGGGGCGCCGGCGAGTGAGAGGCAAGCCCTTGGTGCTGGGGACGGGTGGGGGCAGCACCAGGCCATCAGAGCAAGCGCCTGGGTGGGGAGGAGTCCTGGATCGCACCACATTGGCCCTCTGCGGGGAGCGGGCAGCAGTCCTGTCGGGACCTGGCACGGCACCTTCCTTGCCTCTTCACGCTGCCTCTTGCATCTGGAAACA